AGTGTGGTGATATTCCCATGTTGAGTTCATAGTAGTCAACTTAAGATGCTACTCGCTGGTCGCGGTGGTTGATTATGATGCTCTAGCGCCGAAACCGCGCCGCGACCGCGCGCTCGCAAAGGCCGGATGCTCAAGTGCGAGTCTGTAGTTTACCGTCACCCCCAGCTGGGGACCCATTTACCTCTCACATGGCAAGAACCAGGATCCAGTAATGTGAAATTGCAGTTCGTCTTTAAATAGTACACCAGAGAAGAAAACGAACCAAAACGGCAATGATGTCATTCTTTGTCAAGCAGGCAAACTTTCGTAGTTCAACTTCGAGGACGGCCCTAAAGCAATCATTTCCATTGACTAAGAAACGGTAACTTTTTCAGCGTGAATAAGTTTCTCATGGAATGTGTGTGAAATACGCTTACATGCGCGATCCCGGAAGCTCAAATCCCGGAAGTGGCGAGCGTGCCACTTGGCACGCACGCCACCTCTGCCTCAACGAAAGGAAAGTAAAATGTAATGGATCTTCAAGGGAATACATCAGCAAGTCCTCTTGGAGATAAAAAGAAAATTTCTCATATGAAAAGATGCAAGTGAACTGCTTTACTAACCTTGGATTACTAATGTTTAGGAACTCAAGCGATTGCGGTTTAAGTTTCGCGTAGGTAGCCGACTGAAGTGTAACCGAGTCCACGCGAACTTCAGCTCCTTCATCGATACGTAACTGTTTCATCATCTTGAAAAGAAACTTTCAGCATTCACTGCTACTATCAACACAGTGAGGCAGCTCGACTGTTAGTCAATAGTTACAGATGTGATGACACACCCACCCACTGAGGGAGATAACACTTCCCTTCTGGGGCTGAAAACTCTAAAACTCCACAGTTTGTAGATCGAGAATTCTCGCAGACTGACGACACCTAAAAACCACTCGAACTGTCCGCAAAATAGACAACTCATGAATTCCCTGTAACGGGAACTCTCACCTTGATAGCACATTGTATCGTATCAGATAATCCAACGCGGAATTTGGCAACAAAATCTATAGAGAACCAATTAGTTTCGAAGAACCATAAAGGAGTCTGAGTCTCCGTTGTACTCACTTTTCCACCATAATTCAATTCGACGACTTTAGCTGAATCCGCATCAATAAATGCAGCTGAATACGCCCGCATCTGACAACTATACCGACCACTATATCCGCCTCCCATACCCATCATACCACTCAGTATATTCATCATCTTTCTGCAATCGATAAAAAATGACCTGTGGGTTTTGAACTGCTTTGAACAGGACGGTACGGAAAACAAGCAAAACTCTAATGGCGATCATCTGAAATCATTTGCACAAGTTAGAAATCGGCCACATCCCACTTGTTAAAAAAACGGCGCCTTTCCAAATACAGAGGTTGGGATACATAGCACCTAAGCCAATCAAAACCACTGCAAAATTTTCCGGCATTAATGTGCTGGGGAGCGGGGAGTCGGGGTGGGCAAGCGCGCACCATCCATTGCGCCTCCGTGTCCCTTCTCCGAACCAAGGTTTAGGTTTAGACAGCACAGGACTCAAGCCATCGACCGGGAAAGTCTCGCAGGAAAGACACGGTCGCCACTGAGTCCTAACAATGAGCCTTGGATCAAAACTAGGCATAGAAGCACAGAAGCGCAGCCGAGTGGCAGCCAATTACTTCACTGCCCATTTTCTCTTGAAAGCGGTTAGGAAAAGTGACCTGCAAGTATCAGGTCGACGTTCTGAGCACTTCATCGCCTTCAAGGACTTGAAATGGCTCAAAATTCTCTACTTGTTACGTACTCGCGAGCACCCAACCGTACTTTTACACGTACTACACTCTACGGTCTACTGTGTCCAGGGTACAGCATCGTGATGTGTGAAATGGTGGTGTAAGTACGCCCCCCACCCTACGAGAGAAGGTCTCGATACGACCTCCACTTCCCTTTCCAATGCATACCTAACACTTTAATACAAGTTCCCAGCTTCCTAGCAGTTTTTCACCCAAAAAAATTCCGTCGAGGACGCGTGGGGTACATTGTACACATGAAACAGGAAAAATTATGAAAGTCAACAACTAGAAAAATCTTTTCCCAACGCCCAATGCAGCAAATTTCTCTCTACGCGCCATACCATCCACCCTCTCCCAACGACCAAATACGACCCCCCCCTCCCCAGCAAAAAAATACGACCCCTCATGTGTTTTACACGAACGATGCTGTACCCTGACTGTGTCACTCATCCATTCTATCAACAGATACGACATTGGTGAACCTGCGGAAAGGCCGCACGTCTCGCCAAGAAGCGTACTATATTTTGGAAAGAGGCTTTTCTGGTGTTGGAACTGGTTTAGGCAGGCGAACCTAGCTGATGGATCCTGGGTGTTATGAAAGAGGAAGCTTTGAGTAGTGTTCTAAGGCCTTGAAGAGTACGAAATGCTGAAGATTTCGTCCTAATAAACGCGGTCCCACCACGACAAATCTCTGCAACAAAACAATAAGAAAGGTACACTCTCTAGAATAACGTCAAGGTTTACTAGAATCGTACTGCTACTCATTTTTTTACACTGTTTCGACTCCGTCTGAGGTCATTTGAAAGCCCACAGCTAGTAAAAAGGGACAACACAATCGTAATCCGCCGCGCTCATGGGCATCGTGCGACGTCCCGCTTGCAAATGACGATGCTTCCGGATCGAAGTTGGCGACAGTAGACTATGTGCAACCCAGACAGCTACAGATGTCTACGATGGCGTAGTCTACATGAAAAGCGGCAAATTATCATTGTCTTGACCGTCTACCTACAAAAATAGGACAAATTTCTAAAAGCACGGAGAAAGAGACCGAAATTCCATTTTTTTCAATCAACTCTACTATTAACCAAGGGATCGCACGCACTCTCTAATAGAACCCGAACCACAGACCTTCTAACTGGTACCAACGCCCCTAACAATCATAACAGCTTTTAATAGAGACTACAGAAAAACTGAATTTAGCAATGATTGGCAAGAAGCGATATAGGCAGTGAAGTGAACAACACCAATTCGCAATTCAGCAACCACATAAGAGGTTAAATTTTATGGACTCCAAGCAATACCGTAACCAACAGTTCGAGCCGTTACCATACAAAAACAAGAAGCAAGCACAGTGTTCAACAACCAAGAAAAAAAATACTGTGCTGTCATGGAAACAAGAATGAAACAACGTTAACTACTTTGCGTGAATACTGTCATGTAAGGAATATAATCACATTTTAGATGTCCGTAGATGATTGCAGACAGGTGAAAGAGCAAGAAATTTCCCAACGAAATTAACCTATCAAATGCTTGGAGCACATGCGTAGAAATGCAAAAAAAAAACAAATGTTAGCTTGTATCTGGTGATTAGAAAAGAAAAATGAAACAAGTGTGAAACCGGAACCACTCCCAAGGCTTTATGCGTGGGCAACAAGAACAGTTAATAGTTAATATGCAGTATAAATAAAATTACAAACAGTTTCAAGTGACAAGAAAATGTAACAATCTCCCCTTTCCAGTAAACTACGAAGGATATGAACGTAAGTGGCAAAGTTAATCTTAATATGAACCTAACTCTGACATAGCAACCAGTTGAACACGAGGGATAGCTGAATTCGAGTTTAGCCATCAACCGGTTCTTCGCCTTCTGTGTCGCTCGAATAGGTACCATAATAACGATCTCCAAAATTACCCATTCCAGGTAGAACGTAGAAGTTATCGGAAATCTGGGGATCCACGGCAGTCGTTATGAGTCGAACCTGACGTGTACGTATATATTCCATTTCAATTAAAAATTCACTACTCTTCAAACGAAATCATGAGTTTTCAAATCAAATTTAAGACTTCGTTAACCATGCCACACTAGACACTCTTGCGGGCCACACTCAAGTACGGTTCCCGCCCACTATGAGAAGCTCCGCCTATTTCGAAGAGCACCACCCACCTCCGCAGAATACCTCAAATTAGCCAAAGTGTCGCACTCGTAAGGCGATTTGCCCGTTTTTTTTTCGACTCTGACCTACCAGTTGAAACCTTTGGAAATTGAGGCTATTTTCGAAAATCGGCGGGGCTCCTCGTATTTGGTGAGACTTCCCATACCAGTTACATGAAAACTTTGGAAATGATCACAATTTCGAACAAAAGGCGCGAAAAAGAAATCACAGATTCAGTTGAAATTTATTAGAAGTAAACATCTGGAGACCGAATCAAAGTTCAACCAAGCGTTAGCCCTGCGAAAAGAAACACAACAAACAACTTCGGGAACGCGTATGCAAGAGCATGAACTCCCGGTTCAGACATAAGCAATGAAAGGACGTAAATGTTATCTTCCGGCACGTCATGGTCAAGGAGAATTCGAATAGCCATCATAGCTGCTGCACCTGAAATGCAACGTTTTACTAACGATGCATTAATATAGTCCATGTTTGAGTTTGCACTATCGCAAAGGACGCACGAAGACGCAAGGACTCATGAAGATGAACATATAGAGGAAGTTGAGCGCATCTGTGATGAGTTGAGACTCGCCTACAGAGGGCGCAACATGTCCCTCAGGCCATGAGGTGATTCTTCCAAAAAGTTGTAGTTCGGTCCCGGAGCACTTCAGTTACCGGGAAAAGGCAAGTTAAGATCAGCAAAGGGACACTGACTGGGAGGGAGACGGAGTCAGTCTAAGTGGGGCGTGGGCTAAGATGACGGGGCAAACTAAATATTCAGATACGGTTACACGAAGCACAGCAGAAAGTAGATTAAGGTCAGCAAAGTGCCAGTGGGCGAAAAAATGGAGACGCACACTCAGTGGGCATGGCCTGTGTCGAGGTGAGCGGGCAAGAGTCAAGAATCTGTATTTCTGTCCCATAAGTCTGGATATAATTAAAAAAAATCAAAAACACTGGACTGTTATGGAACAATAGAAGGAGACAATCTTTCGAATTTGCGGAACTTTTTCTAGTCGGCCTAGTTCCGTGGCGATGGTAATGATCAATCCAACAGCAAAAAATATAAAGCAAACATGAATACAGCAAAAAAATTAACGAACCAGTCGCGACTGTCGCATCCAGAAGCATCACTTTATACTTGTCAATATCTTTTGGCAGACGGAGGTAGTAGAGCTCTGGTTCCATGGTCTTATCATTCGTTTGAATCAATATTTTTCCCATCTGAACGACGAAGCGTACAGCACAGACATAAGCAGTATTACTAAGAGGTATTGGTACGTGACAAGACAATCGTAATGTCACGCTGGACATGGTCATCAGGTCACGCACATGAGAAAGAACTGTCCTGCCCGGCCGTTCGTATCTCTATGTTAAAAGTATGGGAGCGGTTGATATCACGCGGCATGGAGTCCTGGCCCGGCTTGAATTCGCATGAGTTTCGCCGCTCCAATTAAAAAACTGATGCACGATGAGAAGCTGTCGCAAACGGCCGCGCGCGACGATGCACAGATTACGATTGTCTTGTCCATCTAACAAGAGATACTGCTAAACAGAGTGTTTACCTTACAATCCTTCACAACCGCTCGTAGAGAGTTCTCCATAGTCTCCCCTGCTCTCATTATTGCTATCCCGCAAATCTTGGCGCATTGACGACGTCCTTTTACCCTGCAAAAGTGGTAAACGTGAAATAGCCCTCTGGAGAACGAGAAAATCAACTAAAAGGTGAAAATTTAAAGAGGGCTGGTGCAAAGCAGACGCTGTGACGGAGGAGATCTTCGCTCAAGTCTGAAAGGAAGGGAGCTCCGGAGAGGACAAATAGTTCCACTGGGCAAAAGAGGTTTCACACTACCTTTTTTATGATGATATCCGTTTTGCATGAGAAGCTCTTCGAGTAAACAGTCGACCTAAGCTATTTCGAAAAAAAAAGTACGACAAAAGCAGAAAGGTTCCGTCTCTCAAGTAGTGTTCTCAATCAAAGTTCAGAAGTTCGGCAACTTTTTCGTGAATAAACTATTTATAGCAAAAAATGTGAAGACAGCTCACTTTTGACCATTGTTGAGCTCGATCTCTACATCTTTATACGGCATGAAATTCATGGCTTCTTCAACAAGAATGCGTGTAAGGCGCTCAGAGTAGAAAATCAACTCATCTCTAAAAATATTAATTTTAGCCAATAATATAAACATAGAGATTGTTACATTCAGCCTAGGGTCAACCTTAGGAATTTTGCGGTGAAAAGCTACACTAATCGGAATTCAAACCCGAAAAAAGGCCCTTGACTCGCTGAAAAAGACAGTTCTCAAACTTTGCGAAGTAGGAACACTCTTTGACAGAAGATGGCAAACGAAACCTAGGGATCTGATTAGCTACTGATCCTCCCACACAGGATTCATGGCCTTAAGAATTATTCCACTTAACCCGCTTGTCGATCATCCGTATTGGATCATCCACATTTGTGGAGCATGAACATGCCCTAGATGCTAAATTAGATTTAGTGCCCTAGGCCTTGCTCATGCTCCCTAAAATGCGAAATATCTGAACTAGGAGGTTCTACGTAAAGCTATTTGTATTATTCGGCTTCTCTCTTGTTATAACTCCAGCATTTTTGTTCACTTTCTTGATGTGCTGAAGCCCTCGAATTTTTTAGCTGGATCCATTTATTTAATGGCTAGATGTTTTTGACCGCAACGCGCTGCTCAGAAGGCGAACAGTAAACTGTGCTATTTATCTACAGCACAATGATAGTGCGGTGGAATTCCCAGTTGAAGTAAGAACAATTCGTCCAAAACTTTAAGACAAGTAGTATTTCGGCATGCAGTTGGATGGGAGGCATAATATTACAATGCATATCTTCTACAGCCACCTCCTGAGAATCTTTCGCTTTCTGTGAATACAGTGGTTCACTCGTGCCAGCCTCACAAGAGTTCTATCACAGTAAGGTTGGTTACCTAACATGTATGAAAAAATAGCCAAACTGCAAAATGCCCACCTCCTTAGAGGAACAGTCTGGCTGGTTACTTGACATGTACTGAAAAAAGTAGCCAACTAAGCCGCAAAATGCCCACCCTTCCACCTTTAAGCGGAACGTGCCTTTTATCTTATATAAACACCTTCGGGCCAGCGTTTATACCTTTGTGACGGTAATAAAGTGGACAACTGAAGCAAAAAGCAATTAACAGAAATTGCAGAATTAGGAAAAGCAGTATTGACGAAAAGGATAAGTTACGTATCGATCTGTTTCCGCAATTCGTCAACTGTGCAACCCTGCAATTCTTCAATTCTACTAACTCTTCAAATCGATATGTATCTAATCGCTTTGGTCAGTATGTCGTCATTCCACTCCAGTGCGTAAATGTCAAGATTGCAAGGAAAAGCTTACCTTTTCGTGTACTTGTTCCGGATAAACGTGTGCAAACCACGAACTTGTGGTGTTTCTCTGATGATAGTAAGACTGTCAGGCAATTCATCAGGGAGCTGACTCTTGTCACATCCAATGTGGACGACATTGTGAATGAGCTGTTTGGTCATAACCTATAGCACAAATGGTGATCAGAGTAAATACGAACCGTAGCATTTCGTGACTCACCTCTTTTCACCAGTTGGGTCATCACTTTCGTCTTCGCAATGACGATTGATTGCCACAACTCATTGCCCCACGCTCGTGGGAAAAAAGGAAAATGTAATCAGCAACCTCATTCCTGTGCGCGGCTAATACGTTCGAATGCCGGCTGTAATGTTATCGGCTTCTCTCTAGAACCGCGCTATCACTCTCGCGTCTGCCACATCACACAATACTTGTTAGCTTACGAAAACCTGATAATTCTCAATAATAATGACAGCTAGCTACCGTAGATTTTTACCTAATAAATCTTCTAAATACAGTGTGCTCACTGCAGAATGAGGAGCGTGTCTAGATGGGGTGGTATCTGAGCGCGCGCCTATAACCCGCACTCCAGCCGGACACGTCCTTCAATCGCGCAGCGAACAAGAACTCGTAACTCCTAAATACGCCACGTTATTAAAAGCAGCGCCCGCAGTTCAAGTATGCGATTAATGGGGCTCAGACAGTAGATAGAGCAGGTAGCAAGTAAGTTCAATATACGAGAAAAAATGCAAAGAAAAATTCGGATTAGGGTGGGGGGCGAGCCCTTCACGAGGGCGGGCGCCGCTGCTCTCCAGCCATTTATGTGAGTGGGAGAACTAAGCACGTCCACTATCCTCTTGGCGCTAGCTGCGATATCCAAAGAGGGTGTGGAACAGCAAGTGGGACAAGGGCGTTCTCCAGCTTAGGGAAGGGGCACTTTGCAATTCCGCCAGTTTCTTTTGGTGGTCCATATTGAACATTCTAGTGAAACTGTAAAGTCTTGCAAAGTTGCGAAATGTTACAAGTGCGCCAATTTGGTGACAGGAATTTTCAGGTTTCTACAAGATGTCCCCGTACAAACTTTAATGAATACAATTTTGTGCTCCCACCAAATGATACTCAGCGGAACTGCGCTGACTGCGATGAACCAGCAGATCTAACATATAAGGGCATTCTTCACGTCTGCGACCCTCTCGCGGGAAGCGAGCGGTTTTGGGAGGAAAAAGCAAAAATAGTCATCGATCCGAAAATCGCCAACAGCTAGTTCCGCCGAACCGCCGCGGTTGGGAGGTAGGGCGAAAAGCGAAAAATGCGTATCGATTTCGCTGGCGAGAAACGCCGGAGCGATCGAGCTAGCGTTTCGTCGAAGGCGAAAAACGTCGCGGTTTGGCCCGCCCGTCGATACGTATCAAAAGCTTTTCGCCGAACCGCCGCGTTCCAGAGAAACGCTGGGCCGCAGACTGTGAACAACGCCTAAGAAAAAAAAATAGACGGACAGTGGACATGACTAGGAAAAACAAGCCACAAAAAGTACCGCAACAGAAACTGGCAATGAGGATGACAAATAACGGAAAAATGCAAAGCGAAGATTTACAGAGAGACCAAGGGGGCGGGGGGGGGGAGCTTGGAAAACATTTTCTCGACCTTCCAACCGAAATTCACCCTTTTCCTGAAGGCGCCGTTCACTACTGGAGAATTAAACGTTGACTTGACCAAGGGATAAGTACTACAAGAGGTACCTTAACAAATCTAAAATACTGATCAAGCACACCAACGGTGTCACGACCTCGCTCGTTGATATCACGATTTAGTCGTCGAGCTAAGCGCACGTCACCATCCGTGTCCACAAATACCTTGAATACGACTACTTTTCGAACAGAATTACCGTAACATCCTCTGAAAGTAAAACCTTCATATCCATCATGGCGGTTATTTCTGGACGATGGAAAGCGAGGATTCCTTCGAAAATCAAGACATCTGCGCCGTACATCACCTAAATTATAGTTCGTTGAGAATTACCAAAGCAGTCCTTTTTAAAGCATAAAAGTGCAGTTTGGCTTGGTGGGGGCAAGAGGTGCTAAGCTACAATCTTTACAAGCCGTCTTCTGAAACCTGCAAATTCTTGTAACCAAGGTGGTTCACTCTATTCTAGTCAGCCAACATGACAAGTGTTCATGGTTCTCCCCAGAGTGAGGCTTGTTAGTTACCATAAACAAAAAAAGGAACTACCGAAAGTGCGAAATGCCCCTCCCAAGCCGAGCTGCGCCTCTATCAATTGCAACCATCGAATTTTCGAATTCCAACCTTTGGATTATTATCCCGAGAATGAGTGGTGAAATCGTACACTGGTACCTCACAACTCTTTCCTTCGCGGAGCCGAGTTAAAACCTAGAAAAAGCAAATTGAGTATAAAGTAGAATGCAGAGAAGAAACTTGCAAAACCCAAAAAAAACCTCAAACAGCAGATCGAAATCGAAGGCATTGGGATGGTCAAAATTGTAATTTGATTCTTCTGCAAGAGCGTGCTCTTTCTCGTTCAGTACCTATGGAAGAAATCTTGGATAATCTGTTAACGGGATCTCTAAACTATATTCTACCTTATAAAAGCTATCCATACTCAAGATTGTCACCCACGGTATCTCCAGCTTTTCAATGATCTTCTCTGCAACTGTGGTTTTACCACTGGCTGAACTGAAAATGAAACGAGTGAACAGGGCAATTTTAGGTCTTCATGGAATATAAAGCCAACTTCAAAGTTTAATTACTAACAGAATCGCCGGTCCAGATGTAACGCAGCTCTGTTATCCTTCTGGGAGCTCGAAGAGATGTCATTCATCTAACATATTAGTGAGATCAAGGTACGCTCTGTTACCGAGGGAAATTTTTTGCAAAATACGACTCCCCTGCAAGTATTCCACTCTGGTACGACGCCTCTTTCACCATTCCACCTATCATCCCTTCCACTTTCCAAAAATTCCCCCCAAAAACCTGCCGACGAGCGTATGAAATAGAAAAA